CAATCAAATCCTGTAGATTCCTAATTGCCCAATATCTAAATATTGTCTTTTCCGGAAGATAACTTAATTATATTTTCAAACAAATTGAAAAACAACAAATTAGGGGTATATTTCTCAGCATTCAATTAAAACTGGCTTAATTATCAGCATGATTAATTAATCAGATATTTATCGAACAATCGCATAAAATTATTACAGGTAAACATTATTTTTATTAATATCATTATATAAACCAAGTGTGTGATGAAAATTTCCGCTCCTTATCGAAAAGCACGAATTTTAAATATTTTTAAAATTTTTAAGCTCGAAATGTATTTAAGGTGATTTGTTTTGAAATTTAAAAAAAGTGATCTGCTATCCGTTAATTCTGCATAGGCAAAATAACTGGAAACCGAATTTCAATAAGTGTGCTCAACACCAGAAAATACCTAAGTAGCTGAAATAAATACGCATTCCGTTTCCCTAAATCCCGTATCCATAAATAAGGCCTAGAACTGAAAAATAAACCGTAAATAGACCTACACTTTCTTTACTTTTTTTATCGTCGAAAGCTAAGTAATGGTCCATTGATCTAATGCCCGCTTTTCGAAACTGCCGAATCTTGCATTTTATAGATGCTTTTACGCAGTTAAATAGAGTTTTCCCAGAAAGCTCAGTTTTCGATTTAGGAAAAGAGCTTTTCGCTGTATTAGAATATTCTGACATAAAAAACTGTATACATTTTCGAACTGACCTAGAAATAACAGAAAAGGGTCGTTGAAATATCAAATAATAATTGCGGATACGGCCATCCTTTCAATCGCCCTATAATAACAATGAACGCATTAGTGCCAACCATCTTGACATGCTTCTTCTGTATGTACTAATGGTTTTTTGTATGCAAATATCCAATGATTCTGATGGTGTGGTACCATTTAAAATCTTCATATGAGAGTCTTGTACCACGAAGAATTATTTAGTTTAGTACAGAGTGGATGAATCTTGATTTTAAGAGGCAACCTCAATGCTCAAAACTCAATAAGGCAACCACATTTTTACACAATATTAACCATGCACATGCGAAGTATTTTGACGAAAATTTGACGAGTCGATTTGATCGCAGTTCGTACGTTTTTTCTGACTCTTTAGTTGACATACCTCAAGAACATATTTATCTTAACAATGTTCATGTTAATGCATTTTATTTATTTATCTATAAAGGAACTAATTGCGAATGGAATTAATACTAGAAAGGGCGTCAAAATTAGGAAATGATTTTTATAGCACAGTTTATTCGTAATATATACTTTACTCGTGATAATTAGCGAAACAACTTGCTTGCCAAAGGACCAATGAACCACTTGAAAAAATTGCTTAAGCAAAATAGAAACTGGATTTTCAAGAGCTAATATCTTCAAGAAATAAACTGAAAAATGTATTTCATCATTTTTTCCAACATCCAAATCCGCTCCTCAGAAGCTCCTTAATAGAAAGTCAAAATTTTGAAAGCACAGCATCAGATATCAGCGAGAATCTACTTAAAACAACAAATGTTTGGATGATCAAAAAGTTACAAAATCCATCGCATTTTCAACAGTTAAACATGAGCAATAATGATACTGTTTCCATAATTTATCCCATTTTTGAATAAGTCTGTTACTAATGAAAACGATCAAAAAGTATATAAGTTTAACATAAAAATATCGGAGAGATCCAGACTGAATGGAAACATATCAATCATGCCGCATTATCACATGCAACAATAACAATTGATCACGATGTGGATGCAAAAAATCCATCTCAGAGTAGCTATCCTCACTATAAGGTATGTGTCCTTGAAGTTTCGCAAACAAGCAAAAATAGAACCATTGTTTCACATTTTATATTTTTTCGTGAATAGTTTGTCTTCTAATAGTCTGACCTGCCAATACAGACTTAGATGATTAAACCGATGAACGGATTACCAAAAATGAATCGTACGTAGAAGAGAATATGTCCCAATTTATTAGACTAGAAATTATTGATCAATTTAAAGTTGGCAAGAAGTGGCAAAATATATTCTTCAAAGATATGCAGTTAGTATCTGCAGTATCTGCAGTTAGTAAACAACAGCACGACTTATGGAAAATGAACCTCTTATTCGCATTTTGGACCAAAAGGAACAACTTGAGACGCAAAGTTGATGGCTTACGAATTTACTGCTAGCACAGGTAGTTGGAAATCGACATTCTAAGTTGCAAATTAGCACGAGTTTGCAAACAGTCACAAACTAGTTGGAAAATTTATGTGGCAGTAAATCTTCGCAGAATAAGCAAAAATGTGTTTTATTTGTTATCATATTCTCCGTTGGGCCTAAAACTTAAAGGAAGAGAGGAATTTAGAACCAGTCTCTTCAATTAAGTTATGGTGACTGATCATCAAAAGCTGTAACTCATTAGGCAAAATTGTAAAACCAAGTCAGATGTCCGATTTCGAAGATTATCACTTTTCAAGTTCAAGTAGTTAGTAAGCAATTACTTAGAAGTAATTCAAAAGTCTTAAAGTTTTATGACAAGATTGGGTATAGGGAAGTTCTCATTGCAATGGCTCGAATAAATACTGTACTTATTATTAACGTTCATCCCAGGACATTTCTCATCTTTTCACGGTAGTGAGGCCAGAATAAAGTCTAATTTTATTCATGGATAAGAAATATAATTTTTTTTAAAGTTCGATCGACAATATCGATTTCAACTTTTATACCGTAGCATTTATTATCAAAGAGCAAAACAAAACTGGGTCCTAGCCAGAAATCTTGCTGACTAGTTTAGTATAAAACCAGCACAGGCTTTAAACATATATATTATTAAGTAACTCCAAACAGTAATCTACCCAGGAATTCGTTCAGCCAAATTTAGCAGACCTTTCTGAAAGCGAATCCAATATAACTAATCCAATAGAAATGAAGCCATTGTCCTTTTTATTTCAAAAACCTTAATACGATTTCCTAAGTCGCATTTCAGATATTATGACTAGGTATTGCTACGGCGGTTTATTCTTTCAGAACTAGGATCTGCTCTCGGGGAGATCAAATTTGCAGCAGCACTTAACTGAAAACTTGAAGGCAATATATATCAGTTTTACGTTACCAACCTGAATTATTAGAGTTTAATTTGGCTGCGATGCGAATACATATCTAACAAAAATATAACAACATATTATAATGGGGACGTTTTTACTTTAAATAATATGGAGGAGAACTAAGAAAGTTCATTGATTTTCGATTCCGTTTGTCAGTATTAGGCGTCGTTATACAGTTTTCCAGAATACATTTAATTATGTTATATTATAAGTTAGTTATAACAAGCGATAGTTGTTATGACTGTCTCAAGCAAGCTTGGACTTGGAAATAATTGAACGATTGGTCAGATGGTGAACGAAATTTGGTATAACCGTTCGATACTGTTAACATTCGAGTTTTGATGTGTTTCCGGAGAAAGCAGAGAACATAAGTTAACTGTTGTTCAAATAAAATATTCGAACTAGTGCTGCGAACTTGGTAAAATTTGTCGAAAGTAATGAAACATACAGTTACTTAATTGACTCCCAATGACAGGTTTAAATATGCTAAATATGGAAAATCTAACAGAACCTGGAAAATGGTAGAAATTTACAATATGGAGATCTCAAAAAATTTATTAAGTTACAGCAATTCATACAATTTTTCTAAATCTAAAACTAAATTAACTATATTGCAAGTTTACAAAATTCCAAAAAAGTTTCAAAGAGTTTACAAAGAGTGTTGTCGATATGCTGATTCCACCTAAATTAACAGATTATACCTAAATAAAATGTTGTGGTCAGGCTTCGTATACGACAGTTCAAGATCAATAGATGGCAAAAAAATTCTAATTCAATTCTGCTTTTGATTCGAAAATGAGCCATTGTCTCTTTGTGATAGCGGCCCAATAATAATTCGTAAATAGTAATAATAAGGTACTAAAAAGAGAATAGTTTGGCGTTACTCAAAAACGCGGAAGTCTGCTTAAGCATTAAGCGAATTAAGTGAATAGTTCAAAACGAAAGTGAATTAACAAATGTAAATATAACAGCTAAAACCTGCAATAAGTAAAACTACATTTTGCGTCAGATTCTAGAAGAACTTAGAAGGCGGTGTGTTATGAAGCAAAGGTTGCTGCAATGGTAACTTTGGCGCTTAACAAAAACATGGTTTTCCCGTATACTTTAGCATTACACTGCAGGTGATTTTTGAAAAGTTATAAAAAAACTATTGAAATATTGGAATATTGAAAGAAGTTTTATATTTTTTAATGTAAATTCTGTAGCTTACCAAAACTCTTGGAGAGAAAAGCAAAATTATTTCGAATAATATCAAATTTTGACCGTTGGCCAAATTTTGGTAATGGAACGCCTCGAAATTATGTATATTACTACATATTTAAAAATGCAGACACTGATTCTGAAAATATATTGACCGATACCGTAATGCAGATAAGCCGTAACCCACAAAAAATATTTTTAATGCTAAGACAAAAAATCGAACCAAAGTAAAATAAAGATGGTAATTTTTCTTTTCGAATGCCAATTGCCAATTTCAATAAGCCACCAATCAGACATGGCTATTTCTAAATAATACTGACTTTATTTGAGGGGTTACCGTAAAAGAAATTATGCCAATTTTGAGACACCCAGTATATAATTATGGTGCATAGAACCGCCTGTTTTAAATCCGTAGCTTCTAAAAAAATAGTGAATTAATATGTATTGAAACATCGACATCCATCACCAAGAAACAATCGGCACCAACACGAACAACTTAACAGTTAAGTCAGAACTTAACATTCTTTAAAACAGATTAGCATTTCGCTCAGAACAAAAAATAGTGCTCATAATTTTCTAAATACACATAAAAATATAAAACCTTCATCTCAGAAACGTTTTCATAAGCCGTGGAGTGCTAAAATATGAGAAAAAAACCGGTACATTACTTGATGATTAAACTATGTTTCTTTCTTTTGCAGATGCCTTAGGTTTAAGAAATGTTACGTTATACATAACACCTACCGTAGTCCAAAAAGGCCACGCCGCTACCTTCAGATGTACATACGACTTAGAAGGTGATACTGTATATTCCGTACAGTGGTACCGAGGAAGCCACGAGTTCTACAGATATGAGCCATCAGGAGTGTCAGTCACCCAACATTTCTCCATTCCAGGAGTAAGATTAAAACCAGATGTAAGTAAAGATATTTACCAAATGCAGTAGTTGCCGTAATATTTGCGATTAAAGCGCACAGACTGACGTAAACGTTTTTAATATTTAAGACGAGGTAGCTCAAATGGATGTTTTCTATCGATATAAAAAATTTGCAAAATCAGGAGTCATATTCCAAAGGGCACAGCACATAACTTGAATCGGCGCATTAGTGGTGTAGGTACGAAAAGTTTACGTAGTGTAAACAGCTCTGGTATATTTGCTACTTCAGGGCTACCTAATACCTTATGAGGAAAGTGGATTGGGCAGTAAAAGTACAAGTTGGACAGTCCCTATGACTCTTTAAAAGGAATGAGGACAATTTTAAATCACCCTGTATATACAGGATTGTTATTTTTTCAGGTTTCTGTTTGTACTAAACTTGCACTTCCTTGCTTCGCTCTTATCTTTTTTTATTTGCTAAGCGCTTCCTATTGGGTTCTTTCCTTGATAAATTAAACACCCAATTTATTCATTGAAACTTAGTCTCAAGCCTAACTAAAGCTAACATTTAGCTCAGTCGTGCATGGCGTTACACAACTAGGAATATCTATATCTCTAACTGCAGTTCACGACACTTAAGCATACTCAGGAAATTTATTAATAATCCGGTACATTTCAAGTTTCGAAGCAAATTAAAAGTTTTAAGCCTTGAAAACTAAGTAAGAATTAGGAGAGATACAGCAGAATTAAGTCGTAGTAATGGAGATAAACCATATTGTTTGGTTTCGAATAGATTTGATATGAATTTTTACGGGCCAGTCTACATGTGGGAGTTACCAAATTGCGACAACCAATTGTGAACTTCTTTCTTTATTTCCCTGTTATTTCATCAACGGCCCATGCATAGAAATCTTCATTTTACGGATAGGCTGATCTGGTTTAAAAATATCTGTCTTTCCAGAGTTTTCCCCATATCTTGGAAAATTTGTTAACTTTTTAACCGTACCTGATGTATTTTATAATCTGTTGATGTCATTTGATGCTATATGTTTGCCTGATATACTCATTTTATGATCCACCCAAGTAGAATGACTTATTTTTTACAAACTTCTTTTTGGGTATTTCGACTCAAAAATTTTTGTCGTTAAAAAAGACAGAATTTCCTCACGTCTTTTATTACAGATTGATAAATAGTGCTCCTATTTCGCAATAAGAAGGAATTATTTATCAAAAAGTAAT